CTTTTTGTGTAATATAGGGGCCTTAATAGTTAGAATAGATTTGGGGGCCCATTATACTTTCATTATACCAAGGAAACCCCAAAAGAGTATTAGTGAAAATTCAGGCCCCTACATTACACTATAATTATACTAAGGAAACCCCTAAAAAGTATTAATTATTTAGGCCCCTACATTACTTGCTGTGCCTGCGGCTCCACTGGCGACCGACAGGCCTTCCCGAAGAGCAGTTTCACATGCGCTTGAAAGCTCGAGGATTAGGGTTAGGGTTTAGGGTTTAGGGTTTAGCGTTTATAGGGTTTATAGGGTTTATAGGGTTTAGGGTTTAGGGTTAATACAGGCATTTCAACAATCGAACCAAGGTTGATGATATAAATCCTGCCTTACCCATAATAAGGAATATACCATCATTCAAATAGTTTAAAGTCCTTAAGGTAATGCATCTATAAGGGGTATTTGGGATTTAAATTCTATTCCAACTGCTAGCCTCCAACTATACTTGGGGCAGGTGCAGCAACAACTGCATGTTGCGGGGCTACCAGCCCAGGTGTCAGAGAAAGCTCGGAAGGGATGCCCAGACCAAAAACTCTATCCAAGTGACTGCTGGCTTGATACCGAGGCTTTACACAAATTTGGCTAGCTAAGGCAGTGTGAGGTGCCCATACCCTAAACTCTTTGCCCAAAATTAGGCCAAATTATCTCTCTCCTTACACAGCCCTAAGCCCTTTCTCAAAACGCAACCCCTGAGCTCCTTCTGCAGCAAAAATCCCTAGATCATTTCAATAAGCTGCCAATGAGCACCCGAAGCCTTTGCAGCAAAATGCACGCAGAGCATCACTGGACCTGGTAAGACGTAGTGATGTAGCACTTTTATCCCCTGCTCACCCTTGTATACCTCTCTACCATACCATTGGGGTTCAGGGGTTTGGGTTTGGGGCTTCGGGAATCTATCCCAAAACACGATGCTGATTGTTAAGAGACCTGTGAATCTTCCCTAAACCCTACAACCTGATATAAATCCTAAACCCTCAACCCTAAAAGCCCTAATTTAAGAGATTCCTGAATCGCACCCATGGCCTCCCACAAGGAGAGTCCCTCTTCGGGTGTCGCAAAGCGGACCACGCCAAGCGGACCGAAGGGAAGATGTGCCTCCTAGCATTTTTGTTGGTTTATAGGGTTTAGAGTTTAGGATTTAGGGGTTTAGGGTTTAGGCTTTAACCCTGCGGCAGGTACTTACTACGTAGGGCCCTAGGGGCTCTAGTACCCTCTATATAATTAGTAGGTACCTGGAGGGTTAGAGTTTAGGCTTTGTAGAGGTTTGGGGTTGAGGCTTTTGCGGTTCAGTGTGGAGACCCGTGCTGGTAGGATTGAGGATTGACCTTATCACCCACCATTGAGGACCATCAGGCCTCTAATGTAGGGGCCTTAATAAGCAGAATGGGGTTTTGGGCTTCTTTCTTAATAGTATATTTATAATGAGGAACCCAAAGACGAAGGTTGGTAACTATTTACGCTTCTATATTCTTAAAGGGCGTTTGAGCCCAGTGCTCATCGACGGCCCTAAACCCTAAACCCTAAACCCTAAACCGGCTACCATACATGCCCGCGTGAGTCTAAGAAGGGCTTCGGGCTCAGGGTTTCAGTCAGTTTTCGGGGTTAAGGCTTAAGGCTTCGGGGTTTAGGGCTTTAGGG